AACAGTGAAAAACCGTCAAAAAACACCAATAAAACCGGTCCAAGTCAAGGAATTAATAAATATAGACATAGGTTATTTTGAAACCTCTTTCAAAAGGAAAGGCAATATTTACCCAGATAAATACAATGACATATTAACAGAAACTTCGGGAAAGCAGATAAAACCTAGAATAAGGTTTAAAACGTTACTATGAAGAAAGGAAAGTTAATGCAAAGATAAGGACATGCGTCGCTCACTCATAGATATATATGCTGCTAGACTTCTACTGCTTGAACATATATGCAACACGCCGCGGTTTCTTGGAAGAAAAATGCTCAATAACGCGCTGATTAAAGTCATGCATCCCAGAAATAACGTCTCTGTGAATGGATAAACAGCCAAGGAATTTAATCTATCTTGCTTCATTGTGTTTCTGAGATACGTTTTAATACGCTTCAGCGTGCTGAAATGTTCGCTCTGCGTCGGCGGAACAAAAAGGCGTCGTCAAAATGATGTCCAGAAATTTTGCAGACGCCGCAAAGGTAGTTACTAGAGTGTTATCTATGAGGAACCCATAGAGCGCGCAAGTTGATGTGATGTTCAAAAAAAGTTTGATTGTGTATATACATCGCAATTCATTTTCCAATTTACCCACGTTTATCATGGGGTAAAATTGGAGACAGTAGCCAACAAATGGATGGGAAATTGACGTGCAAATTTTGAAAAATTTTTGGGGTCATCAAAGAGAACGCGGCAAGGTGTTCAGTGCGCAGACGATCGCCTATTTGATTCACCAGAATGTCACAGCATTCCCTTTGCAGACAAAATCAAACGCTGCGTTGTTTGCCCGCGCGTAAAAGAAGCACTCCATTGTGTCGTCGTAGTTTATTGTTTCCCGGATCGAGAACAAGCATCGCAGAAGTCTGAAAACCCGACTGCAACAGAACGCTTTCCATCCCATTAGTCCTGGACTGCAAATGCGCCGTATAATACATCCACGTGAATAGAATTATGTGGAGAAAAATGAAAACCTCACCATCTTCTAGCAGACGCTTTAGACCTGTCGCCTCCTCACAGAGCGTTCGTCCCAAACCGAGAGCTCTGAATGCCATTGAAACACTCAGTGAGCTCAGACCTAATTTCGGACACGCCCTGCACCACGCGTGATTGGAAGTTCCAACGTGTTGGTGCACAAGCTGGGAGACGGCGGCTACATATCTGGCAAAGGAGGTCAGAGCGCTTCGGCGAAACGGAAAAAAAATGAAGAAAATCCCGAAAACATTTGCAAAAAAATATACGGACGAGAACAAGACACATTATTTTTAATAACGAGGTTAAATTTGGTGTGCATAAAAATGTAAAAAATGCGCATGAGGAAAATCTTCTTTTATATAAACTTGAACACCATGTTTCGACCCCTCATGACTGCCGCGCCGTCACAAGTTTGAGCTATCAATTTTGACTTCGCGTTGTAAGGCTGTAACAACTTCTTTCAGTACAGCCGATATCCCGCAAGCCGTGCGATCAACGATTAGTACAAAGCTGTGAAATCTCTCGGTAGGTTTACCATCTTTCACAAACCGAAAAATCACAGCCAGTTGGGAAACGCACGTGATGTCAGTTGTCTCGTCAGACTGAATCGAAAGGAACTGGCAATTCTCAATTTCCAGAGCCAAATGTTGTAAATAAATTTTATACATTGAGTCGAGCAAATCATTTTGGATATCCTTAGATGTCCCTTCGAACAGTTGCGGCATCAAGATGATCTCTCAATACTGTATCTAGGGATGCGGTGTATTCCACCATATCCAAAAATACCCCTCTATTAGAAGAGCCAGCCCGTTCATCGTGCCCACGGAGGGACAGCTCGTGACACACAATGAACTTCAAACATCTATCAATACGACCGAGAACATGGCGGTTTTTCTCGACGTTTTGGTTGTGCCGACGAAAAGAAACCGCGTGTCCTTCATCCAAACTGTGCTGGCAATGATTAACATTTCCGAATATTCGGTCATTTTACTGCATTGTCCAGATGCTCCATAGGAAGCATTGATGATCCCTGACACGCCTCGGAAAGATGTTTAAGAACCTTCTAAACCAAATTTACCACCAACGTGAGTCACGGGCGGTAGCAAAAAAAGTAGGCAAAATTTTTGTCCTCGCTGTAACCACAACCATTCGTGTTTTTATAACCAAGTTTCTGCGCAGAATGTACGCCGTTGTACCTCTAATTTTTGTTCCAGCGGCAGCTGCGAAAACGGAGTGCGAAGTAGTGCATCAACCTTATTCATTATGAGGTCGAAGGCTAAGAAATGCGAAGCCGGAAAGAAGTGAGGAGCTCAAAAGGAATGTGGAAAATCGAAAGCAAATGGACTAAAGGTCTCTAACTGATTCAAATAGCGAAACAAGCGACAAAAATGAAGGCGAGGAAACTATCAACTCTTCAAGCAACCAACGAACGAGAAGGAATGCGTGAATATGTCAACACGTTGTTGTAAGAAACGTCGGCATTGTGTCGTCATAATTTCGGGGCTAGCTCCGATGATTTAGTAAAAGAAACAGAAAACAAACGATTCAAACGCGGCGAGTGGAAGATAAAAGAGAGAATACGATCGGCGAATAAATCGGCGTCGCCCCGTCGACGTTCGGCGAAGGCTTTGCGAGCGAAAAATGAACCATGTCGGGAGAATATGGCTAGTGTAGACAGTCTGTGCAACCGATATTGAGGTATTTTTCGAATATTTTTTATGGACCTCTCCCCGACCTTTGGACCCCCAAAAATTCTTCCTATTCTTTACCATTGCAAAATTGTCGGGGCTAGTTTAATAGTGCCTTTGCGAGTTGGCGCCTGTAAAATGGGGTATGTGTTACAAACCATCATTATGCTTCATCGCATACAACAATCTGTTTTTTAAAAGTACCGCTATAGAATATTAGCCTAGTCTATCACAGCTATTTCTACACTAATTTTTTATTACTAAAACGCCTAGAAAGACAGAGTGATCATTAATTATCTGATTTATATTTAAGTTTCCGAAACACAACTGAAAACTAACGAATAGAGTTCAAAAACGCGAAAATGAGGTAATGTTTACGACCGCGCTTGAAAATCTGTCTGAGTGAGAAAAGTGTCTGAGCGGATGCGAAAAGGGAGCATATCACCTTTTGCATCTTGCTGATTGGCCAATGTCACGAAGTAAACAAGGAAGTCGATGCTTGGGGAAAGGTCCATTATACCGAAAAAACAACCGGGGGCGGCCCTATTGACGCGCCGCCACTGTAAATAAGTCATACTCATCTTGTAACGAACAGAATTTCTTATCAGCGATGTAAAATGCGAGTTGAATCAAGTTTTACCTTAGCATAAAAATTTGGATACCGTGAAGAACTGTGGAACATACGAGTTTTAGCAAGTAGAGTATTATTACACTCGTCACAGCTCTTCTTCATACTGCTGCGGTCTGAATTCAGGGGCGTGCCCTTGTACCTACCTTCAAAAAATTATAGACGTTGGTATACACGAGAATGAGTAAATTGAAGGTCAAGTAATAGTGGAATGTTTGTAATATTAACTGAATTATCAAACTAAGGAACACACCAACATGTATGACATGTACACTTCATTAACAACCGTGTAATTATCGAATACCAGCCACATTGGCACTAGAACATATAACAAAGTTATCTTATCGATAATTAAACTTAAAACATATATCTCAGCATTAACGCCGCTTATTTCACTGTTGCTGCAACTAGCTGGTGAACTTCCGTTTTTTTTTTTTTGCAATATTAATCGGGTGGCAAATCGTGTTCCATCGCATTCTGGCTGTCCGAAAAGTCTCCCTAACACTTGAAAAAAGATGGTCATAGTTCCTATAAATAGTCAAATATGATGCAGCGAGACACTTTATCGACACAATGTCACACAAATATGGTGCTGCGAGACTGTTGAAAAACACCTTTCAACCTTTGGAAATTAAATAAATATACATATTAAGTACGGTACACAAAAAAGGAATCATGTTACGATCCATTCTCGACGAGTTCGTGTTACCAGGCGGTGGGAAACCCGAAAAATATAGTATAACGAATCTCTCGTTTATCACGGGGCCACCGCGCCCCAATATTGAGAATAACGAATACTTTTTATGCACGTATTACGATCATATTTTCTACCACCACTTATCTAAGTTAGAATATGTCTAATATACAATACATGGCCATTTCGTAGCGAAATACAGACCAATATATATCGATAGTTGGAGGTAGATAGAAGCATCGTAGAAGAAAAATGTTCACCACGCAACTTAAGAGCCCATGAGAGATTGAAATAATAACTTTTTTTATTTTCATTTTGCGCTGGATTAGGATATGATATATCCCGGGGAGATAGAGGGAAAGCCGATTCAATCATATGGCATAGCCACGGCCTCTCGTCCGGTTACCAATCCATGTCGGGCAGGGATTAGTTAGTTAGACAGTTATTTGTTATCGGAAGCATGGACTTGATGGTTGAGGAAGTCTTAACCAGCCAGCAGTTACGTTAACCACCCTGCGCAAGCAAAGAGTTCAGCAATCCTTTCGTACATAACCATCCCGGGATTCGAATTGGTAAACTTGAAATTAATTCTCTACCATTATAAAATTTAGCCAAAAACATTGAACATGAGGTGTTTAATACCCTTCAGGACTCACAACTATGGTTTGGCACCAGTGTGTTCGACATGACGGTAGGTGCAATATCTAATTTCAGCGTAAAACCAGGCCGCCAATAGCGATTTAGGACTTTCTGAAAGGTGGCAAGCAGGACGTTATAACTCTCATTCATCAACTAAGAAGGTTTTCGTCAGAATTTGGAACAATAGTCTAATAAGCCACTCTATTGGATCGAAATCTATTACTTTTTTACCTCGGATTTAGAGTCGAGAACAAACTGAGAAATTTGCAAAAAAAAGATAATTCCTCACGAATTACAGACTGAACACGTCACCTCCAATGCTTTCCAGGATGCAGCGTGGTATTATAGTTGCTCAATAACCTTTGGATAGGTAGAGCATAATTTTATTTGAATGGAAATAAAACTCACTGGGATCTCATAGTAACAAGCAGCAATGGATACACTGAAGAATTGATGGCCAACAGCCACACAAAACCAAAGATACAGATTTGCCTAATACTATTTCAGTCCTGAGTGAAGCACTCTTATGCACCTCTTTGAAATCGGGTTGCAAAACACTGGGGAACATTTCAGTAATACCTGGTTTCTGATTAGAATCACAAAAATAGCCCAATAATGCATAAGACTGAGACAATATTAGTTGACTATGAGTTTTAGTGAATTGATTTACCATATGCCCTCAGAATATTTCGATGGAGATAATAATCGTTCTGATATTATCATTGGTAATAATATAGCTTGATAAATATATTCTATTACATATTTGAATCTGAATATGTAAACCTCATGAAATGTATAATATCACATCCCATTGTTTTACCGTAATTTCAAGCTGAATAAAATGAAAGATATACAAAAAAATAAAAAATCACACGAATCATTCAAAAATCGGAATTTAGAATTCATGAGCTGTTCCCAACAGATTTGATGAAGATTATAATAGTAATAATGAGAGTAGTGTTATAAGTATAACATTGATTATGTTAGGAGTAAGAAAGAGTACATTTCATTGACACACACGATAAAAATCTAAAACTGCACAAGAAAATGACAAAACTATCGTCCCAATAACATTTTCTGCTAATATCAAATCTTGCTCCGAATAGCAATAGTCACATAAACTGATCCACAGCAATGCAACATACATTAAGCACTATACACGGAGTGATGACAGATGAGAAACACTCCCACTTGAGTAGGAATGTAAAAGTTAATAATGCAAAATAATAAATCTGGGGTTTGTAGTTGTTTTAGGCATTGCAGAAAATCTAAAATGACATCCTATTACATAAAAATTGTCTAACGAAGTCATGACTTTCTTCGATTAAAATGTACAAATGTTGAAATTTTGTCAAATTGCCTATTGTGAAATCAAAAACAGCATCAATCAACATTTCGAGAAAAATTCGAAATATTAATATGTCATGCAAGGGCTCAATAACTAATGGAAAATACATCGGGTAGTTCAAAAATGTGGATGCCAACAATGTAACCAATGATTACAGTGTACATTATCAAATCAAAAACAGTATCATTTTAAAGGTTCTTGACTATATTTAGATTTACAGTAATGAACATGATGATTTTTATATGGGATGAGATTTTCGTATGGAAACAATATTGTTTTATTAAGAAAAAACAATGGTAATGTTTAGTAGTCGACCCAAAATATAGGCAGCTAGCATATGGAACAGATCTGATCTTTGCCTAGGGAATTACAGTATATAAGAAAGTAATAAATATTCTATTGGCTTCATTTAATGGGTCCTCAGAAGAGATCAAAGCAGTGTCAGTTTTGAACGGTCAACTTGTCATAAATGGCTATATAATATAATACATCATTATATTCTTCTTTTGACAAGATCAAAGGCTGTGTGGCAAATAGTTGACTTCATCGACCAGACAGTTCTTGGCGTATAGCTGGAAAAATTTAACAAGTTAAAATGATATAACAGGAAAGGTATTAAAAAATATATATATCATTGAGCAACTAGGTTGTTGCTTCAATAGTGAGATCGGGCTGCTGGATGAATGAAGAAATTTGCTATATTTTGTTTTAGTGCAGGATATCACATGAACTTGTTACTTTAATATTTGGAAATGAAATTTCTAGACAAAATAATAAAAATATTCCATTTCTACAGTAAATTATTGCAAATATAATTTTGATACTAACTTCAAAGATTGAAACACTAAATATAACACTAAAGTTTAACCGATTTACTCTATTATAGAAACACAATAAATAAGAGTCAATCAAATTATAACTTTAAACAGTTGTATAAATTACTAATATACTAAGTTACAATGAGCTAAGAAACATTTCTAAACTAAATTCATTACGTTGTATGGGTTTACAGACTTTTCCCCCACAGACTTTTGCATATCACAATTTGAATTAATTAAGACCTTTAGTCGCTTTGGTAGATGTATAAAAAACAATAATGTATAAATACACAAATATTTATGAATTAGTTTACGAATATTAATTCACCAGCTACCACAGCAGCAACATATATCAGTAACCTGCGGCTATGGTACAAATATCCTATGAATACATGTGTATTTATATATCATTTTTCGGCAATTCCTAAGGCGGATGTAAAACATAAACATGACTAAAACTGTCTAGTGATTGGAAAATTCGGATGCTGCATTCCTGCTTCAAAATACCTGTTAATATTTCCTCTTTCATTTTCTGCATTTCTTTTCGGACCTCATCAATTATTTCCTACAATACAATAAAGAATAGTTGATTACATTATTGAAATCACTCCACAGATAACGAGAGCGGGTAAAGTTTATTGGCAAGATCATTGAATACTACTACAAATTATAAGATCAGCATAACTTCTGAGTGTTTTTCTGAATTTTTATTACGAGGTATTTCAGAATAGTACTCTTGTCACATTGAAGTAAAATAAGAAAAAACAACCCTGCGTTTGTAATAAACATTTTTTCATTATTATTCAATGCGTTATCTAGGGTATATATTTCGCCCAGCCCTACTTTACGCAGACCTAAAGTAGAAATCATTTGATGAGAATGATACTGAAAATGTTTGCCGTACACATTTATTACCATGGAGTAACTTTAGAAACACACCAAGTGACAAAACGGGTCACACACTTGCTATATTTGCTAGACACATTTTTACGTACAAAATGTTTTACAGTATATAATTTTTATCTACCATAGAATATGGAATTTGAAAAAATGTGCCAAATATTACATCTGGCATGCAGTGTGATACTTTTATAACTTACCTGTTTAACAGATTCTAAATCCCCAGAACTTGAATTGGTTGTTGTGTTACGACTAAAATTATTTAATGGAGAGTTAATTTTATTAAAGTATTGCTGAATGTTCAAAGCCATCAACATGAGAGAAGAGTGAAAAAAATAAAATCTGTGTCGGAAGAAATCAGGGAGGTACAAATTACTGACAAAAGAAGCAACAATTTTAAGATTTAAAGAAATTATTTTCCAATATGTCCAATGGAGAGGTTTTTCACATTTGCCGACAGAAACTCTGGGGGAGGGGGGTTCTTCTTAAAGGGGTTGGAAACTTGGCTTTAGAGTCTGATGCCCAATGAGTTGAATGCCCAAATAAACAATATTTCGAATTAAATATTTCTATGTGTTTATGAATTCGCTATACTCAGCATTGCTTATTTTGTAATATTGCACTCTAAATCTAAAATGGAAGCATTTGGTATAATAAAACAATTGGAAAAAATTGATCTACTCTAAATCCGATCATTCCGATAAAAATAATATTTAATTTCCACATAAAATAACTGAATGTAAAGAGAATTTTAAAATGCAACCATCATGCCGTCATCTACAAAAAAATCAACACTCTTGATTTTGAAAAAAAATATATACGAGTAAATATAAATGAAATTTTGGTGTCTTGAATAAATCATGCAAAAATAAAGCATTCAGTTCACTAAGTAGTGGCATTTATGACCCGGATGAATCTATACGTGTCGTATTCGGATTAGAACATTCATTAAAATCCATAATAGTTTCAGACACTTCATAACATTGGAGGCAGAAATGTGAACTCTATTTCATATTGGGTTACTACGCATGAAAAAATATTTCACCAAATAATATATGCGAATTTGATTCTTTGGTATTTTAAGAACTGGATTGAATGAATCTATGGCACTGCAAGAGAAGAAAGCTGGTAATTTCAATTGCTTCGAATTGTATTTAAGATATTATTAATATAATCAAGATATTGAGAGAATATTCAACAACAAAAACTTTTCAAGAATCTGGAGAAAAGTAGAATCCCACAGATTAATGTAACAATGCACAAAAAAAAACAAGGAACGAAGATGTGCATTCAAAATTTTTTTGATGAAATCATCCATTCAATTCCTCAACCACATGGAGGATGCTAAAACAAATGTATGTATATCAATCGATGACTCCTAAGCTATTTCTGACAAACAAATTTGCCTAGGTCATCATTTTGATACAATAATCTTCATGCTGCATCACAGTACATAATTACAGGAAATGAAATGAACAATACCTCATGAGAACCCATTCCCAAATCTACTTACTTTGCAATGCCACCAAACTTTTTAGTAACAGGTGAACTCTTATTTGATGCCTGTTGCCTAACGGCAAATTAAATCATATATCATATGGCATGCTCATTAAAACTCGCAATTTATAACGGAACACAATCCGCTTCAAAATACTTTGGTCATTCATAATCTCCCATAAGAAAATTGCTTATGAATAAGACTTACCGTAGTTTGGTAGGTGTAAAATAATGGAATATATAGAATATATTTGTGTGTTACATTGGCCCCGGTTATGAATTATTACTAAATCCTGCTAGATCAACTAGTTAGGCGATTCTTTGCTGAATAAGCATGAAGCAGATTGGATCCCCATAATCATCACAAATTGCTTGTGTAATAATTATCACAACATGACAAACTCTTTGTCTCTTTGTTTTGCGATTCGACAAATTTCAATTCTATCGTTCAACTTTTATAAAAAAAAAAGCATATTTTGTTGCAATTCTACAAATATTTTTGCTTTATAGTTCAATTCAATTTTTAATTGTAAAAATGACAAATGTTGTTCTGGTCCTTTCACTGGCATATGTCACAGAATGCCTAATGTCCCAAGTTCACCGTGGTCGACAATAGGAATGTTCGAGCAACAGTCCGCTGGGAGGATTCTTGTAACCCACAGGAAGTTTCGTAGCTCGAGTTCTGAACCAGTCGTTTATATTAAAATGTGCAACTTTTCCAGAGTTAATCTGAGAGTTTCTCAAATATGGATATGATCTTTCCACTGTAACGTAGTTAGGTGTAGGGACGTATTACATCAAAACCATGTGACCAAATTGTATCACTGGCTCAAGGCCAAATGCTTAAAATAAATGTAAAGGCCAATTTATGTCGAATGAAAGAGGCTACGTAATATATCAAAGGGTTTGAAGTACTTGTTTCCGTACAATGGAAAATTTGACCTTCATAAAATTCAATGTTGGATTTTTATTCATTTATTGTTAAGTGACTGGTAATGCATGTTGAGACGGCAATAGGGGCAATTTATTTGGGCAAATATTTCTTTTCAAAATTGTGTCAAAGAGAAGAAATGGTGCAGATTTCAGACTTAGAAATAGAATATGACTACCCAAATATGTTGCACAGTATTCAGACTGTGCAATATATTTAAAGTCAATCAAATCCATTCAATAGCACTAGCAGAGAAAAAAATCGAATTACTTGTTGTAATGCACAACCGCTACAAAAAAATTTTTTTTTTGGCTGTAATTCATGGTGTGTGTAATCCATCTATCCAATGTGCAGCCCTCTGCAAATCAGTAACATTATTTGTGGCTCCAGAAGTCATTTGATTGAACATAGCTGCTCATAATTAACCATATTAAGTAATAGGAAATGAACATCACCACATCAAAACAGATATTATAACCTCACAATTCATTATGTCGTTAAGCTACATAACCCAGTGGTCATGAATCCTTTAATTATTAATGGTGTCTTCAAATCAATAGATAATACCACACAACAATAATGAAATTATTGCTAAAGGTAAAACTGCTTTGTTGATCCGAAGGATGCCAAAAGAAGACAATTATTTGAAAACTGATCCATATAAAAAGGTTCGTAGTATGCTGATTTTTTTATCTTACATTTTTACATTCTACAATAAATACATCCTATCAACATAGTTTCTTGAAAACTAATGATAGGATTGGACAACCTCAACAGAACAAAAATGGCCCAATGAAGCCATCTCGCATAATCATAATCAGCAGGGTTAAAAGTGCAAGCTTTAATCATTGCTTTTATAACCTTTTATGCAAATAAATTCTTACCCAAGAGTAGCTGAGCCTGATATATTATTTTTCTGCCATGGTGGCCTCTTATTTTCTGAAAAATAATAAATTACGATCCACTATGTTAAATCTGATGATGCTAATCTTCAATATTCAATATCTGCAAACACAAAGCACCATTAAAATATCGGCAATGGGAATTATAGAAAATTTCTATTATTTGCATGAATGACGAATGTCTTGCTTTTATGTTCTCACAGCTAGTTATTTGGCAAAGATTCAAAATAAACACACCTGATGGTTGTTTCATTGTTTGAGAGACGACTGGTCCAGGATTTGTAACTGGCTTAGGCGCTGAATCCTGTTTTACAAGATGAAAAAAGAGTTTGAAACGAAGCATTTTTTTATTAGACTTAAAAACAGAAACACAGATTAAGAAAATTTGATAACAATCATATTTTTTGAATCATGAATTCATGCAGTCATGATATTGATACTGGTCAGTCAACTGAGTGAGCATTGGCCTATATGTCAACCTGTTGGCATTGTACGTTGAAGATCTCTCATGCAAGTCTTGTTAGATTATAATAAATGAGATAGGTAATGCCTAAGCAAAAAGACTTCAGCTCTTATAAAATTGATTTGAAAAACTCCTTCATATATCAAAGGTTGTTTGACCATAGTGACCAGATTATCGCTTTTCAGATGAGCTATCTATTGACCAAGTTGCTATGTCATCCAATCAAACTATGAGAGTAGATTTAGGAAATACATGGAATATATCGGCAGCACAATAAACAATTACATACCTCACTCTTAATGGCTCTTTTAGCTGCCCTAGAAAACATGTAATACAATGCATAAGCACAGAATAGCGACAAAATCAGGCCTACTCAGAATTGTTGTAACTTAGTAAAAGCTCAGTATGGAAGTCTTCAAAACATTATTTGGTGTGGTCTAGATCTTACTGTTTAGGATCATCCAAGAAAATTAAATAAATTTTGAATTAATTTCAAAATTGCTGTATTATTTTATTTATGTTTGATTACAGGTTACTGACTTGAAACACTCTTATGCCAACATGGTTCATTTCATAAACATAGTTAATGTTACCCTGACTGATATAGTGACAATACAAAATAATAACATAAAATTAGTAGAAGCATGATGTTGAGAGAAACTGAATCAAAATTGAAATATTCGAACCATTATTTTTTTTGTTTAAAAATCGATATAAAAGAATAGTCAAAACTATTCAGTGATGTCACCTATACACATTGTGGCACCACAATACCAAGGTACATGACTGCAGGTCTTAGAACAACAGTCTATGTCGTGTTTAGGCTGTCCAAGAAAACCGAATATTCGAACTTGAATAGAATCGCAAATTATGCAAATCGTTTTCCGGCTAATTTGTGAATCGCTAAAATGAGGTACATCAAGCAGGAAAAAATCACACGAACGTTGTTGGCACGGCGTTTTTCATCGGGTAAGTGAAGCGTATTTCGCTCGCCTTCATTTTGATGTAAAAAAGTGTTTCTCCTAGTCCTATGGCCCGGTGGCATGTAATTATCCATTTCATGCATGGTCATAACTAGGAGATTATTATCGATAATGACGCTTTTGAGAGAGTACACGAGGAAAAAAGGGAATTTAGTTTAGGCACAAAATGCTAGTGCTATAAATAGAATCGATTTAAAGCTGTTGAGTCAGTAATCATAGGAACATAGTACCGCTAACCTGAAGCTGAAAAACATGCTGGGGGGAACCTTATGATGGCAATACCTGCTTTCAATGGAATTTGTAATTTCCTATGATGGCAATACTTTGTATTATACGTCTATTACTATGACAACTAATTGCACTCTTGCATTTTGATGGCTGTTGTACAGTAACAATACGATCATCAAATAATAATGTCATCCCTAGCTCCGAATTCGAGACCTTTCTAAATGCAATTGGGCAACAGTTTTGTCTATATTAATGGTTGTTCATCATTTTGCTGAAAATTTCTTCAACATCCTGAAATAATCTAACATGACGCACCCTAACCTGGTACACATACTGTGGTCAGGTTGTGCGCCATCTTGGTGCACATACTTCTCGAGCTTCAAAATTTGTTTGGTTTTGCTTATTCGTGTGCTCATATTCCCTCATGTTAGGTTATTACTTATCGATCTTGATCGGTAAGTATGTTGATAGGTATTTGACTGTCTGTATGTTAGATGCATGCGATATCTCACGAAAGCGAGGTTCAATCTGCTCCAAATTTTGCATGTGCATTCATCTTAGCTCGGATCAGAAGCCTATTGATTTTGGATGGATTATGTAGTATAATTAGCGAGTTATTAATTAATTAGTGATGGGACACACGATGTCACTATGGAGTAAGACCACTGTTTTGGGGATCCCCTAACCTTCTATCGATAAGTCTTCGGTTTCCAACCGAATTCTAGTTTAAAGATGTTGAAGATTACTGATATAAACTCGTGATCATTCCCTACTGTATACTGTTTCCCATCAAATTGTTTAAAATTTTACAGACGCTAATAAATATTAAAAAAAGAATGTTTCCCTCCCTTCTGCCCTGTTTTGCGCTCTTCGCGCCGTATTCAGTAAGTAGTAAGACCGATTCAACCCTACCCTTGAAATATATTTGAAATGTGTGGGAGAGGAAAGGTTCAATGACCTGAGGTGAGGTGAAGATCACACCACTATTCAAGATTGTGTGATATCACAATTATGATATTTGTACAGGAAATACAAATAAAAACAATGGATGTCGGTTTTTATATAATGTTTATTAAAAAATCTCGTGATTTTCTACAATGTAATTTTATTTTTGATAAATAAACACAAAAGACCTCTTCCAAAATAACCAGTGTTATTCTTCAAAAGAAAATAAATCTAAATCCTGTCTAAATTTTAGGGAAACACGGTAAGAAGTGCTGTACAGTATACAAAACTGCTATGCGTCAAAAAGCCACATGGTCATTCTTTATGTAGCAAATTTTTGTTCCTTTGAGAAGATCGTAAAAAGGAAACTTTCACAGATTAGAATTTAAATTTCAATTTATTTTCTTTTGTTTTTTTGAAGATTTACGTATTCGAGTCACCAGCGATCCTAATAACCAGTATAATTAATCAAAGCTTTCCACATCTTTTCACGACCTACTAAGATTCCTTTTGCTACCCACCAGTGGGTCGCGACCCATAGTTGATGTAGACGCTGATGTAAACAAAACCTATCTACTAACAGCACTGGCCAAATTAAACCTCACATGGCATTATTAAACGTGCACATCTTCAATTATGCACAATACAAATATCTACCAAAACAAACTCACATTCGTTTTTGCAATTCACCAAGAAAATCACCTCCACCACCTCCTCCTCCGCCACTATTTCCTCCAGCAGGTTTGTCTTCGACAGGCTATATACATCAACAATAAAAAAAAAGATACGAATTAAAGAAAATTCTTCAGGCAATAAAAACTATTGAACTTCAGTATGCTAGTATAGAAAATTACTTAAGCAAGATAGTAAAGTCAGTCAGCTTAAACAATGAATCTTTTATTAATATTGATAATGACGCTTTCAGATAATGACACTGAATTCATGATGACAACATACATGCACGGAATTCAATTCTCAAATCAGAAGATAAAATTCTCACCTCTGCTTTCTTCAACTTTACAGCGGAGAGCGCAGCAGCCATATCCATTCCTCCACCTCCACCACCACCACCACTAGCTACAGGTGGGGCAGGAGGAGCTGGAGGTATCCCAGGTGGTGCTGGCGGAGCGGGTGGAGCAGGAGGTGCGGGTGGAGCTGGCGGTGCTGCAGGAGCCGGTGGAGGGGCTGGTGCTGGAGGTGCAGCAGCTGAAAATTGACGAACAAACCAAAATAGTTAAACAGCAACATCCAATACATTAACTGTTAATTCACGAAGATCATTCTAAGTAAATGTCAACTGCTCTCCAACTCGCACATAATCTTAGATAACCCTCACAGTCATCATCACCATAAGCAGTACAAGAATGTGCATACTTGGACCAGATAAATTTTATAGTAATTTATAGTTTTTTCAATAATTAAGTCAATTTACCTGATGACGCTCTTTCTCTTGCTTGTCTTTCCCGCTCCCGTTTTTCTGCTTCTTGTCGCTCACGTTCTTCCTCTATCCTTTGTTGTTCTCTTCTAAAAACAAAAGAAAAAAAATAAGCATTATCATTAAAACAATTGAACGGAAAAATCCAAATAGAGTTTTGTGGCCATTATACATTCAATTTTTGACATATTAATAATATAATTGAAGATAATATATAATTGAATAAAATCTGAGCATACAAATTACATAATTAGGAATATGTTTTATTTTCATTCCTAATCCTAATATCATAAAATATGGTTTTATCATTGCTTTTTATGTTGATTCTAAAATCCAAACAAAACAGGTACTCTGAATTATTATCACAATCACACCATCAAAAGTTATTCTACTGGTTTACTATATTAGGTAATGTGTTATTGCTATAACGATATTATAGCATTAATAAAACATGTTTCAAAATAAGTGAATGTCCATGTACTATAATATACAAAATATCCTTAATTTGTCTTTATTTCTTTTGATAAGTTAATATATTCATTTCACTTTTGAATAGGTTTCTAATTTTGATGATCATGATCTAACTAATTATTGCTCCTAGAAAGCAGCAATAATTCCAGACTGTAAAATTTCAATTCTATTAATTGCTGCTGATGATGACTATTGGCATAACTGAATAATGCACTGATGATTATTTTGTACATTGTTGATTACTGAAACAACTCAAGTAAATCTGTATATTTAAAGTGGTAAACAATCCCCTTGCCTGCTGACTTGAATGAACTGTTAACAGGATGGCAGGATTTCCTCTTGCCCAAGAAAATATGAACATATTATTCTATACCAAAGCACATATATCATGAGTAGCCTATTTAGAGATCAAAGCCGAATTTGATGAAAACTGACAATAGAGTTGAAAATAATTGATGTGCCTTTTTCAACAGACTGTTGGGAAAGTTGAGTAAAATAATTTTTTTCAGTTTTTGCAAAAAATATTGATTTCAAAGAGTCTGAAATTTCAGATCCGTTTTCTGACTGACTGGGGAATTTAAAATTCTGAATCGACTCTGCTCCCAATGATTTTGAAATTAGGAACTCCAATGAAACTCTGAATCCAACTCCACAGTCACGAGCCCATGATAGAGAGATAATAACAAAGTGCATACAGAACTTAGATTGAAAGATATATTAAACAGAATTTCCTTGTATATAAGAAACTTGCCTTTTAGCTTCCAAATCAGCTTGCGATGTGTCATTGTCTGAAAACAGAAAAAAAATTTTAATTTCACTATTCCCTATTAATTAAGTAAATCAACCAATTTGGTAATTGAAAAATTCAGATACCTGTATACTAAATAGTTTGATACTTCACTTCAGAACCCTTAAACTATTTTCAATAGTATGAACGATAAATCCGGAAAAGAAATATATTTTGTAAAGATTAGGAGAAATTGTGATTCCATTGCAAAAAAGCCTAAAATTATCAGACCATCCATATGACTTTTCTATCTGTCAGAATAAAAATTCACACAATAAGGTCGAATAATTTACTATAGTAAGTCATGATCCTCAAATCACAATAATTCAAAAGAATTCTGGCATAACAGGCATTTCTACAAAATGCAACCCAAAAGCATACCTTGCCAAAATTGTACAACCACAGATTTATCCCTACATGATAATAAATATCACTCTTCATCATCATATTTGATGATTGTTTTGGTCAACTGGGAAAATGACCATAGGTCAACAAATTTTCAGGTTGACAAATATATGTCATCAAATAAGAGTAAATATATTCCATCAAACAAGAAAGAATTACACAAGTTTGACACCCAATCAAGATTGAGAAATAGCTTATAGTGAATCACTAGAGTATAAGCACTGCTTTTAATTCAAATTGTCAATATCAATGATAAGAAAGCCAATTACTAAATAAAACTGCAACTGGTGGTGGCATAGTTAAAAATCTCATTCTTGCTACTTTGATATCAGCCTAGTATCTTTGGCCAAAACCAAATAACAGGGATGTACAGAACAAACTGAATATTAAAATCGATTAGGAAATTGTTTACATTGAATATTTCAAATTCTTGATTTATTGCAACTTATCATTTTGAGCAATTGAAGTTACAAAGTAGGACTAAAAAAGTTTAATAATTTGTAGCTGCAAAAATAGAGAACCAATGAAATGTTTATTTTAACTTTCCTGAATTTAAATATTCAAACTCATTAAGTCGTAATTAATCTTGGTTAATCATGAGCCAATTTAGAACATATTCGATACTCAGATATTAGAAAGTATTATTTTTTATTAATATATACAAAATAGTATATTATCCAGTTTCAACCATCCTTGCTGAATACTTTACTATTCTGAATCTAATTTTCAAAAATAACAACCACTCCACAGTAAAGTTACCAATTGGTCCTTATTCAATTTTTCTGAACACCTTTAGAAATATGATCTCACTATGTAAAAATTTCTTCTGTCTATTTGTTTTAACAATTGTACTTTAAATCATGTCACTGATAACTACTGACATCTTGTAGTATCCGCTCTATATTCTATATATAGATATTGAATAACTGGTCACTTCATGAGTAATTTCCATTTTTAGGTACAAGCTTGTGACTTTGTATTGAGTTCGCGAAAGCATATGTTTGCACACTGGGCAGTAATAATTCAAACAGTTTTACAATGAGTCCGTCCTCTAACACAGGGGTTCTCAAACTTTTCGGGTTATGGAGCCTATGACTATTGCGGACAATCCGAATGAAGCACTTTGAGAACCTATGCTCTAGCATGAAAAATATCTATTCTATTGTAAACTAGAAATAGTCGCCCATATGAGCAGCTAGTGCACACACTCTAAATATGAATAAGTTTGAAGAATATAACAATGAAAATGGAAATCAGATCATGAGGGTGTCAGAAATGATAACGCGATACACCTTTGAGTAGTCAAAAAATACTTACAGCCAGATGTTAAATGATTTATCGCCATGTCCATACCCTCTGAAAATTTTGCAGCCTCTTCTGGATTGCTGAAATTCAAGCCGTACACAGTTCTGGCATCTCTCCATTGATGGAACGTGGCCGTAGCTTTATTGTATTTCAAGTTTTTTGTGATACCACAATTTATTACTACCTGAAAAGAGATTTATGATTTCTATACCAATTTCACTGATAAAAATATGCCTATTATGTGAACTACAAAATTCGAGGACAAGATAAGAAAAAGACGTATCATAATTTTTTATTGTAACAAATAATTCAAGTAATAATAATAATAATAATTTGTTTATCCTATGTTTTGTTTTTTTCTGTTTCTATCAGGTCTGTAAAATCTGCATATTCTTTATTGAATGTTTTTGTTTGCATTTCCTCTATTTTAATTTAAGTTTTCTCTTTGCTGTTCCCCGCAAATGACCTGATCAGAGTCATCCCAGATATTTTTGGACTTGGTTAATAATAAAATAAAATAATAATAATAAAAATTACTTGGTTACTACCGGTACTTTCAAATAAAAATCTCAATTACATCCCATATCAATGGTAAATATCACAATTTTTATAAATTTCAAAGAATTTTACAAATAGGTACAGAATTTACATCGAAAACATAAGCACGCAAAACGTTATGGGCCGGTGACCTTCATCTGAATGTAGATGTATGTAAAAAGCTGCCACTAATCTAAAATATAAAAACAAAAATACTAATTGTATTTGTGAATACTACAATGTTTTCAGGTAGGACACTACAACCTTTAAATATCAGCATTCAGACATTTTATTGGTGTGAATAGTCAACACATAAGAGTTGTGAACTTGTTAATTCTCGAACCTACCTCATGATCAGACTGTTTTCTTCCAACAACTCTGTAAGAAGGTTGTCCACCCTCCCTTTTATAAATACAGACACGAGCAACACCTGCGCCTGCTCCGGCTGGGCACCATTTTCTTGATCCTTCATCATATACCATGACGGATGCCCATGCTTGACATGTGCTCTTCTCACTAAAATAGAATAGAATGAATAAATGACACATATAAAATGAGCAGTCGAATGTTGTTTACTAATTAGAATTTGTTTCTGGCATAACACATAAAATCTTGCATCGAAAATTTTGAACGAATTTGGCTATAATACATTAATAAGTTGCTCACGATGTAATGAATTGAGCTCACAGGATAGATTGCATTGAAATATACACAATTGAGTAGATGAAAGTTTGGTTCTTTGTCGCTACAAACTTCCTATTGAAATCTAACACTGAACAATGAAAAAATTCCATCCATGCAATGAGTTTTAGTAATGGTTAGCACTTCCTTGTTGGGTGGCTCAACAAAGACTTGAATGTATAAGATTCAATATATTTAACAATAAACATGTGTTTGCATTTTCACATTACTCAGAATAATCTAAAATTGTTCTGTACAGCCTCCTCCAACATGGTCAAATTTATATACATTAGGCGTGTTTTGAAAAGAAATATATATATATATTGCATAATTACTTATTGCAAGAAGAGATTAATATTTGAATCTGATAACATTTTCTTCCATTTGAGCATGAAACTTATTTTATCAAGCATTCATAGACATAAGTGATGCAACTATTTTATAATGTAATAACTATAGTTTCACAGGATGTAGTATTCATTTAAATGCGCGGAGACCGGAGGCCAATTGCCTACCTGAATAAATCACAAATACTCCCATATAGTGGTAATGTATATTGAAGGATTTTGTATTTAGTATCAATAGTTGCCTGCAACTGATCTACAGTAAAAAATCTGGTAATTCGAATACTGGTTATTAATAATCACTGAAATTAAACTAAGAAATTACTTTATTCCAATAATTAAGCTTTTTTGATAAACACAACCGTTTGTTCAAAATCTAAATTAAAATCAAACATTGTTTGTCAAACAACTCATCAAATCCAAAGAACCTCACACAATATAACTTTGCAATATCAGAGCAAAATTAAACCTTATAATTGCATAAATGGGATGCTAGCAGCCAAATTCTAATATTTTTTTCCATCAACGAGGCTGTCATTACCCGAACTCAAAAATGAGGAAATTTAATACTATAATGAAAACATCTGAAACGTGTGATTTATACTTATAACAAACAGTTTAATGCTTTTTGTTTCCAAATTTTTATTTTATTTTATCAACAACTTTATATTACTCAAGAAGAACATGATGACTTTCTAAAAACAATGAGTTTATTTGCAAGCTTCAGTTAGATTATCGTATACCTTCTTCAGACAAAGCAAGATGTAGCTTTCACTGAACAAGGTGGTTATAACCGATGAAACCAGAGCTTACAGTTTCCAGTGGCATACCAACTTCTTCATACCCAAAATATACAAGTTTCATTTTTCTGCTATTTTTAGTCAATAGCCGATATATATATTGCATTGATATATACATTTACATTTATATACTTTTCTTACCTCATAGTGAATTTTACAGGAATCTGTGGCTTTTTTAAAATAGAACACTAATTTTTTGTCGATGATATCACCAGTATCTTCAAATAGAATATGTTATCAAATTACAACATTTTATATAGAAATCTAAAAAGAATTTATGAAAAAGAATCAAGTTTAGCCAGATGAAGAAATTATAATATCCCATAACATTGTAGTCTAGCTGTGATTATCTCAATCCAAACACCAAGTGTACATGGTGTTATTTTGCTATTTTTTTTCAGGATTGGCCTAAATGAGTAAATTAGGCTACTCTAGTGCCGTCCTTGTATGGAGTAAGTAAGTTATCTATTGCCGAACATTCAGACAATGGCTCCAGGTGAATCTCACTTAAATCTGGTATTGCTATATGCTGGAGAAATAAAGTAATTAATAGGCTTGTTATAGTGGGGTTAGATAAAGGGCGAAGCTAGTTTTTCCAAAGCCTAATATCCCCCTTTTATGGTTTTGTTATTGCCAGTAAATCTAAATTTTGCATTTTTTATATCCAGAGAACTAGTGTACAAAATTGGCTAGAAGGGCAAGAGAAATTTTCAGGTATAAAAAGAGTGACTGAAAAATTTCCTTCACAAGATTAATTGTTACACTGCAAAATTTCCCTGACCATATACCTCCCCTTACCAGAGTTGAGAGAATTGTAAGAATCATGCTCAAATGTCATAATGATGCATACAGATGCTGTTGTTAGTGAGGTTAGTTATTAAACTTATGACAGAAACCTGTAAAAAATATATCAAACGTTCATCGACTTTTAGACCCTGTGGATTGCCAATATCCAGACCTGCTTCTTCCAGCTCACACACACTACAAATTCTTGTATAGTCTATTTCATTTTATGAAAATAAAGACATGAATTTTATCGTTGACTGGGAATCCTCCAAATCTGATAGATTCGACTGCCTACCCATAGAAAAACTAACTGCAGGTAATCTGGGCCAAAGCATGCCGACCGTCATCAGGCCGCCTATAACAGCCAACTATGCAGTCCATGTATGTTACCTCCCAGTGAAATAATGAAGTATTCTAATAACAAATAAACGCCTATGAAACTCTCCTTTCATACATTCCAAAATTGAAAAAAAAAATTTATTATGAGAATATTAACATAATAATACATACAGAAACCCTATCTATGGATCAGAATTTAAGTGTCCAGAATTCAAAAAGGGAGGGAAAATAAATAGCTGAACGAATTCAATTAATTTATTATTTATCAGTAAGTTGAATATTGCTGGAAATCACAGAATTGCCAACTTGCTTAATATCTACCTAATTTTGGATACATTGACAGATGGGCCCAGAAAACCCATTTCTGCCTTTGAAAAATGTAGTCAAATTGCTGTTCAAATCAGTGGTGGAGCTGATTGGAGCAGTGGTGGAGCTGAAAAGCTGCTGTTCATCTTAACTGAACAAAGGTAACAGGTTTTGTCCAAATAAGTTGATAATCAGTGGCGCAGTCAGGGGGCCAGCCACCCAACCCATGTGGAAATTTTCTAAGACTGCAGCAAAAAATTGCTAAAATAATATGTGAGATTTTCGCAGGGCTTATCTTCCAGTCTTCTGATCTTATTAAAATCGCCGGTTGTTTTCGTCATTAGCATACCCATCCCATTAGCATCCTTTCACAAATGCACGTTTTGTGCCACAAGGACGTCAAGTCCAGTCTCTCGCCAAAACTGTGCACCCAGTGTGAAAAACTCGCTATTATGTGATTGTCGACGACGAAGCACTGAAGATAATTAAAGAAGTTAATCGGTAAATCAAATAATTGACTGAAAATAAGCGAGTGTATAGTCTACTAAAACTGAAAACAGTGTTATAAAAACTAATTAGAATATGAAAAACACCATAAAATTTGTTTTAGGATCCTGTGAGAGAAAAAACGCTATTTAAGACAATGTAAATCACCAAAATTTTGAAAACTCATAACTTACCAGACATTTTTATGTCTGCAGATTGCCGTGTTAATGCTTTAATTTACGGTAAGTTGAAGAATGCAGGAGTTATGTTGAACACAATTAAATTAATATGGCAAAACATATTAAAAGTATTGGTCACGGATTTGATATTACATGCAAGAAAAAAATCATTGTTCATCCAAAAATCATTATTTGTGGTCGATTTTTCACTTCAGCAATGGGCAGCCGCTCAATTTCTTGCCGATTTATAGTTGAGTGCCGTGACAGCTTTAACTTTGGCTCAAACACATATATGGCTATTGGAGATCAAGTCAAACTTCTAAGTCTGCGATATCACAATGGAATGATAATTCCAGATCCGACATTGTCCTATCCGTAATATGAACTGACCTTATTTATTTGGATGAAAATGGTCAAAACTATAAAGATGTTTTAGCAATTTCTAAATTTGTGGGGCATTATTGCAATACGGTACTATACTCTATGTACTCAGTCAACGATAGTAAAATAGGCTACTCTTACTGGAACAAAACACACATAGTCTAGTCAGGCAGTCAGGTCTTGACGAGTGTTCTGACAAATTAATCATTGTCAAAACCCGAAAACCAACCAACACTCTGACACTGCAATACAGCAATACCGTACAGCAATATGACTCATAAATTGTAATATCCTGTTCTACATACTGACATTGTTCTAGATCAGTGATCAGTAATATCATGCACGGTCAGACAATACTGTAGTGATAAGGTTATGCAGACAAATATATGCAGATATGGCAATTCTATCCAATTACAGAATTAAAGAGGCATAGGACTGTAGAAGGTAAGATAGGGCAGTCTGGAGACGGAGTTAAGTCGGTAAGTTAGTCTTGCGCAACCCAAATCAAGGTTAAGATATATGGAAGCTGTGAATTCATTAGGTAGGCTACCGGTACCGTGCCGGTACCCAATGGGCCACCGGTAGTCACCTCATAAAACCTGAATATCACACTACATTAAACGAAGACCACCGATACCGTACTATTGTACCGTACGGTAACCTAATTGCAGAATTGACATCGGTATCGTACCAGGATAAGTACCGGTACTGCTGACCTATTACCGTACAGTATTACGGTACAAGGTATACTACCTGCATCCAAAATACGGGTGCCGGTAAAGCGGTACCGGTATCGGTTAAAATTCTTTGAAGCCCATTGAGGTTATAAGTTATACGCACCTCTATGATGAGGCCACAATCATAAATTCTACATGAGAGGGCATTGTTGTAGATGTGACGTCATCAAAAGTGATCGAGCTGTCCAAAGGTGGGGCGGTATCCCAATTTCCAGTGCGACAAACCTTCTTTCCAAATTGAACTTATACCGTACAGTTCCATAACAATGCCAGCAAGCGTAATGAATGACCATGTAAAGACTTGGTCATTTATTAAGTGGAATGACAATCTTATTTTTGATAGTCGAAAGATTTCTTCCAGAATTGTTTAAATTGCAGATTGGACCGATGGCTGATTTTGGCGCGAGATGCGAACTTACGCACAGTACGTTTCATATGGATGTTTCATTGTTTCCCCGAGCTTCGACTTTCTT